ATCCCCCTAATTACAAACCCGTGCCAGAAGTATGCATTTCTGGGAAACAAAATACAAATTACCAATACAGCTGACAGTAAAGATAAGAGATACAGAAACAAAAGATGAACCAGCTTTCTTAAGAACAGCCTCTGCTGACCCTACAAGCCATCTGTCCTTCACTTTAATTGATATGATAAACAATGAAAGTAAAATTAATATTAAATGACCAACTGGATGCTTTTCTTGGCTACTCGACTGACTACATTCCTTCTCCCAAAAAATTCCCAAACTCAATATAAACATCTCCCTTTAGTCATTTAAATGCAGGGTTTTCCTCACTGTTTTGTAATATAGCAGCATTCCAGCTTTCAAAAGAAACATGGGATGTGAATCACTTGAGTTAATGGCTTATAAAAGAAAGATGACTTGGGAATTTGCTTTCCACCACCTTTCATGGAATTAATTTAAGGGATGGCTATTTTGCTTTCTTAAAGGAAATGGAACTGTTCTGAATAGAAAGTCAATATACACACATATGCATCACTCATCTGTGAAGGCAGAAAAGGAAATGGAGACAGGGAAAACCAAAAGTACAGGACAGTTAGCTAAAATATTGTATTAAGAGATATATACAAGCACTCAGAGGCAGCATTTTTCAGCCATTTGTTGCCAACAGTTCCTTTCATGTCAAGCCAAAGTAGCCAGGTTGTGAAGAGAGAATGGGTCCATAGAAGCCTTTTTATAGCTACTGATCAGCAGTGTAGTGGGAACTGCAGCATGTATGCTGCAATAGCACTAGGAGGGTTCCTTTTCTCTGGGATGATCAGCAATCCCACAGAGAGCCAGATTAAATTTACACGGAGGACTGAGACTTCCATATTCCCATTTTGTAAGTGACCTGTCATGAATACTGCTTACCCTATGCCCCTGTAAAAATCATGTGACAATCCTTTCTTGCAGAACTAATATGCAGTGCAGAAGTGCTTTACAGCAAGATGAATATCCTGCCAGTAGAAGAATTCTTGGGCAGAATTTTCAGAAATCTTCAATGCTGGTTTAACTCCTGCTGA